TTCCTTGAGGACAAAGGTAAACCTAAGTACCTAACAGGCAGCTTCCCTTCTTTAAATCCAGAGATTTGTAATGCAGCACTTTTAAACTGATGAGCAAATCCTCCAAAGAACACCTCACATTTGTCTGGGTTGCATTGCAGACCTGAAAGATGATAGAATTTGTCCAAAACCTGTCTAATACCCCACAAGGCCATACCAGAACCTTCTGAAAAAATTAATAAGTCATCTGCAAAACTCAAATGTGTAAGCCCAATCTGCCTGCACTGAGGATGGAAAGGGAAAAGACCTGTTGCAGCTGCCTTGTTGAGTAAGCCAGATAAAGGCTCCATGGCAATGGTGAAGAGGTAGGGGGAGAGAGGATCCCCCTGCCTAACCCCTTTCACAGCATTGAAAAACCCAAATAGGCTTCCATTCACAGCAATACTGAAAGTGGCAGAACTGAGGCAAAGAGTAATCCACTTAACGAAGATATCAGGAAAGCCCATTAATCGCATTACACTTAAGAGATACTCCCAGTGAACAGAATCGAAAGCTTTTTTGAGGTCAATTTTGACAGCAGCCCTAGAAGACAAATGGGGTCTATGATAATTCTGTACTACCTCCTGAGCCATGAGAATATTCTCTAAAATACTACGCCCCTGAATGAAAGCTGACTGATTACGACTAATAAGAGAAGGGAGAACTAGTCTTAACCTGTTAGCAAGAACTTTTGCAATTATCTTATAGAGGATGTTTATGCATGCAATAGGGCGGAAAGAGGTGAGTTGATCAGCATTTGGGACCTTGGGAACTAGAGTTAGCGAGGCCGAATTCATACCTTTTGGAAGAACTCCCTCATGGAAGAAAGCCTGAATCCCTCGGATAATATCAGGGCCAATGAGACCCCAGCACTTCTGAAAGAATCCTGCTGTCCAACCATCTGGGCCAGGTGCTTTTGTGGGATGCATTTCAAATAGAGCACTCCTGACTTCCTCCCCTGAAACTGATCGACAAAGACTGGCTCCATCTTCAGCAGTGAGTTTGCCACTCAAGCATCCCTCAATCATATCAAGATTAACCAGCACATCAGTATTAACTTTGCCAAATAATTCCTTGTAGAAGAACACAGCTTCTTCAGCAATATCCTTCATGTCTGTAAGTTCAACCCCAGTATGTGAGACCAAACGTCTGATTTTCTTCCTGGCATTACGAATACAGGCAGTCTTGTGGAAAAAACCCGAGTTAGAATCCCCTAAAGTAAGCCAATTAATGCAGGACTTCTGACTAAAGAAAGTCTCCTCAGCCTTCTGCAACTTAATATATTCACAAGTCAGTACACGAACTTCCTCAAAAATCTCACTGGAAGGAGTTTGGAGAGCCTTTAGCTGCTTATCTGCCAGAGCCAGCCTGGCCTCCTTAACTTTAGTCGAAATGTCAGAGAACTCAGCCCTGTTTAGCTTCTTAAGTTCTTGCTTCAGTAAATACAATTTCTGTTTTACCCCAAACAAACCCTGCCCACGAACCTCCTGTCTCCAACAAGCCTCCAAAATAGATGAAAAAGAAACATGGGTAAACCACATATCAAAGAATTTGAATGGTTTTGGATAGGTCTTCTCTGGGACACAAGGCCGAATCAGGATCCCACAATGGTCTGAGAAGTCAGGAGCAAGAAACTCCACCACACAGTCAACAAACTCCCCTAACCATTCAACATTTACCATCAACCGATCTAACTTGCGAGCAATTGGATTCTCTTGTTGGTGGTTGGACCATGTGAATACAGGGCCAGATGCTATGTGATCAACAAGCTCCATTTGTGAAACCCAATTCCTGAAATCAGTAATGCTTCCCGAGATAGCTACCTCATTTGAGGCTTCTGAGGGATCCAATATTGCATTAAAGTCACCTCCCACCAGCCATGGAAACCCCTGCACCTTCCACTGAGCCAACTGCTTGTATGTACTCTCTCTGAGCTTGTCATCATTGGAACCATAGATCACAGTCAAGAAAAATTGAGATCCCTGCTTCATTGAAATTAACATGTGCATAAAATTCTCCTCTTCAGCTAGAACCCTCAAAGTGACATCCTCATTCCAAGCAATCCAGATCCTTCCCAACTTGTGTTTGGAGTAGTTGTCAAGGAATTGATACTCAACAAATTTCCCCCTGATCTCAGCAACTCTTTTTTGGTTTTGTACTCTAGTTTCAAGTAAGGCAAAAAAGGAAACTCTATGTGTCCTAAGGTATCGAAGCATTGCAGCATGCTTCGAGGGGCCATTAAAGCCCCTAGTATTCCATATTAACAGTGTCATTTACGGGGATTCACCACCTTAGTGGTACCTCCCTTACTCCGCAGCCCTTCTCTTCCACGCTTCAATGGGGCCTGCAACACAATGTCTCGCTGACCACACAGCACCTCGAAAGCATTACTGTGTAAGACAGGAGTAGGCATCTTCAGATTCGATCTCGGCTTTGTTCCATTAATCACCTTGTTGAATTCCTCCTGTGATGGCAGCGCACTGGGAGTTAGGGGAGGGGTAGTATCCACCACAACTTGCTTACCTTTATCCACTCTTTCAACCTCCTGCTCTACATTCACAACAGAAACTTGAGGAACTTGCTCCACAGCCATAGACTCAGGACAAGCAACATTCACAATGGTTGAACTCTTCTTTCGCCAAACTCTCTTGGTAGGTTGTCCAGCCGGAGGAAGAGAACAGTCATGCCCAAATACCCCACAGGCAGTACAGCATCGAGGCAAACCACAGTATTCAACACCAATAAGAAATTCAGACATGGTATCAGGCTTAATGCTAATCTTATCAACTCTAGGTTTATCAGCCCTGACCTCCACACAAACACGAACCGAACCCACCCTCTCTCGATGTGCTGTAGAGTGATCCATACAGAGTGGCTTACCTATAGAACTTGCAATCCGACCCAAACCTTCTCTCATCGACAACTCAGCAGGCAGCCCAGACAACTTGACCCATACAGGAACAGCCGAATTGTCGATCTCCAGTGCCCGGATCCCAGGGACCCAGCGCCGAAGACAAATGATCTTCTCGCGATAATGCCACGGACCTCCTTCAAATACCCACCTACAAGTAGCCTCGGATGGAAATTGAAAGAGAACGAGCTTATCATCCAGGAAAGAGACCTTTACCTCCCCGTCACGACTCCAGATCCAATTTGCCCAGAATCGTAGAGCCGAGAGAGAAGGCGGAGCAACAAGGAACTGGCCGACGAGGCTGTGCTCCCATCTCTTCGATCCCTCCTCAATCACTGATTTGGGAATGCGAAGCGATCCATCGATAAATTCAGGCTCAAAGAAATCCAACCTAACCTCCTCCGAAACAGGAAACAGAGACGCCCAGGACCTGCCGCCACCAACGGCGCCAGGCGCGGCTCCGTCGGCGACGGCGGCCATCGCAAGAGACGAAGAAGAGTTCAGAGAATTTCGGAAAGGAGAGAGAAAGGAGAGAAAAAGTTCAAAATGTTTGTTACCCTTTATTTCCACAAATTCGAACAATTGGCGAACCAATCAGTTTAAAAGGGGGGTTAAATTTGCTGCATGGATGGATATGGCACGTAGTTCAACTGGTTTTTGATTTATTAGGCTGAATGAGCTGTGTCGTAGTCTAAGTAAAGACAAAACCATAGTTAACGGTTCTGAAGCTCAAATACCAACGACCAGATATTAGTTATTAAACTTTTAGATCGAAATTTACCATTTAATATTATCAATTTAAGGCGTAGCCCATCAGAAAGGTATAGATTTTATTTCCCCCGTGAATAGCTATCAAAATTAGTTTCACCAGTCAGATACCAGTTTTCAACTTTTGGTAATTTTTTTTGTGAAAGAAATAGGTCCTTTTAATCCTGTTCAGTTCAGTGGTTAAAAAGCTACGCAAAAATGGGATTTATTGATTTAAGTTAAAGGCATACGTTAAAAAAGGAGGGAGGTCGGAGGTCGAACCGTAGCGGAAAGATCACATACGTGAACTGTGACGATAAAAATCGTGATTACATATTCCACGGCCCTGCATTAAGCGGTTAAGTATTCAATTTCTTCAACAAGTCCCTAAACTACAAATTTCCTACTCTAACACTCCTAAACTATGCATTCCTTTCTGATGAGTGATGACGGCCCCTTTTGTTATTATTGATTCCTACTGTATAAAATGAACAACACAGGAAGAATAAACCAAAATGACCCAAGCCCTTACCCCTGGTCATAGGCTGCAAATGAATCGAGCCGAGTCGAGTTTTACCCCAGTTTGAGCTTGGCTCGTTAATAAACGAGTTGAGCTCTCAATTCGTTTATTAACGAGCTGAGTCAAGTTGAATTCGAGCTAGTTTGTTTAATAAAATCTTGACTCGTATTTGATATATTTCTTTTGTATGTCATACATGATACATGTGATTAATGTCAATATTAAACTAATAATAAAAGTTAAGTGTTCAATATTAACTAATATTATTTTATACTTTGTGGTATCGAACAATTTAGTTAATAAATTTTAACTAGTGAAATTATGTTATTTCATAGTAATGAAGTAATCTATGATATGTAATTTATTTTTAAAATTAAATAATTTAACAATCTTATGTATTATCAAAATCAAACTCATATAGATCGATTCGCTCATAACTCGGTAATCGAGTTGGCTCTCTAGCCATAATGTTAAGAGTTGAGACATCTTATGAGCTCTAAACGAGTCAGCTCACGAGTTGAACTCAACAAGATACCGTGTCGAATTAGCTCGCGAGCTCCACGAGCTGCAAGGCTAAGCTCAAACTCAGCTCATTAGTAAATGAGTCGAGTTTCAAACGAGTTTTTCCCGAATCGAACGCCGAGCCGCTCATTTGCAGTGTAGGCGGTAACTAATGTAAACTAGCCCGTTTCCTTCATTCCTCTCTCCTCCAATTCAAGGGTGCAAATGACAAGTTTTGGTAGTTCGGAGGCTTATCTGTAAACGTTATATAGTACAGGGACTAAAAGAGCTGGATTGTACGAATAAAACAACTCATCAAAAAATCAAAGGTTAAGATTTCCAATTCCCTAAATCCTGGCAACGGCCCACTCTCTGTAGCGTGTCCAGTCCAGCCCAGGAAAGTGGGCTCATGCTCCTTCACGCTGTGCTCACATGTACCCAATGATTTCCCCCCTCCCTCCCTCCCTCTCCCCTCCTTTATATCTCTGCTTCTCCCCCAACCACTGCAGCACAGCAGTAGTTCACTCATTACTGAGAGAGGGAACTAGCAGAAGAAGATGAAGTTGCTCTCTCCCCCTCACTCCTCTTCAACAATCCTTCTCCTTCTCCTTCTCTGCTTCCATGGCGCCGTCGCCTCTTCCAACTCTTCTTCCTCCTCCACTTCAAAAATCGGGAAAGGCTACCGCCTAATCTCCATTGAAGAAACTCACGACGGAGGATTCCTCGGCCACCTTCAAGTCAAGCAGAAGAACAAAATCTATGGCGCCGATATCCCCACGCTCCAGCTCTTCGTCAAGTAAAATTTCCCCCCTCATTTCCCCTGCTCTCTAATGTCGGTTTTCCATTTCAAATTACTTCGATTCAGCTCGACGCCATTGGCGAAATTTGCAAGTTAATTGACTCGTAATCTGTTTTTTGTTTTTTGTTTTTCAGGCACGAAACGGACGACCGGCTGCGGGTTCACATCACGGACGCGGAGAAGCAGAGGTGGGAGGTGCCGTACAACCTCCTCCCCCGGGACCAGCCGCCGGCGGCGAAGCAGACGATAGGGAGGTCGAGGAAGAACCTAGTCGGCGTCCAGGACTACACGACATCCGGGGAGCTGATCTTCAGCTACACGGCGGACCCGTTCAGCTTCGCGGTGAGGAGGAAGTCGAACGGGCAGACTCTGTTCAACACCAGCTCCGGCGAATCCGACGACCCGTTCGGCGCCATGGTGTTCAAGGACCAGTACCTGGAGATATCCACCAAGCTTCCCGAGGACGCGTCGCTGTACGGCCTCGGGGAGAACACGCAGCCGCACGGGATCAAGCTGTACCCGGGAGATCCGTACACCCTGTACACGACGGACATCTCGGCGATTAATTTGAATGCGGATCTGTACGGGTCGCACCCGGTTTACATGGACCTCCGGAAGGTGGACGGGAAGCCGTACGCCCACGGGGTTTTGCTGCTGAACAGCAACGGGATGGATGTGTTCTACAAGGGGAACTCGCTGACGTACAAGGTCATTGGGGGCGTTTTCGACTTTTACTTCTTCGCCGGTCCGAGTCCTTTGGGGGTCGTCGATCAGTACACTTCCTTGGTTGGCAGACCCGCTCCCATGCCTTACTGGGCTTTCGGTAAATCACCATTCTTCCCCTCCTCTTCCCCGTTTTTTACTTTCAAGTTAAAACCCTCTTAAATCTCTTTTGCTTAATTTGTTTCAAGCTTCACTTTATCACTGATATTAGTTCCTAAACTACGGTAAAATTGGGTTTTAGAGTAGGGTTAGAGATAATAAGTGGTTAATGAATAGGTTGATTAGTGTGCCGAGGTGGGTACTTCTTCTCCTTCATGAAGAAAGCCAGGAAGTTGGTGATAGGTGAATAGTAAGTATGAAATGTGAAGCTAGGTTGATTCAACATTGGGTTCTAATTTTGTCACGAGTAATAAGAATTCAATTTCTTTTTTTGTTTTGGGGAGAAGCCCTTAATTTTTGGAGTGGTGGAGTTCGGCGTATCATTCAAGTCCAGCAACTGGACGGAGACAAGATTAAGGATCTTAAATTCTTAATGGAGTATTAGAGAATGACAACCGATAATCACGGTTGATTGGATTGATGTGTAGCACGTGTGAGAAGAGCCAAAGGGCGTTGTTCCTTTTTTTTTATGGGCAACAACACCAGAAGAAAAAGAAATTTGCATTCTTTCTTTCAGCTTTTAGGCACGTTACATCAAATCATTACCCAGAACGTCGCTTATTATATGCGGAGGTAGGTGTAGACGCGGCAAAAAGCACACTTTAGGGATAGTTTGGTTGAGAGTCTTATCCCCATCCCTGTAATTATCTGTCTTGTACTCTCGTTACTCTCTTAGTTTAGGGTGGTTGAGGAGGTTGGACCATGTAATTTAATTTGGGATACCCTTCTTCACCACAGACCCAAACCAACCCGAGCTTTCCTTTTCTTGGTTGTTCCCATAACATCTCTATCTCTATCATTGTCTGAATGATGAGTCATTTTAGATCCTTGCAAAAGAAAACCCCTAATGGTTAGGTCCACCATGTCCGCATTACAGACAAGCGCATGCATCTCAAAGTAGGAAAAATATCGCCTACTCTTTTGCCTTTTTAACTTTTGCAAAGCCAAACATCTTGACCCTATATGGCCAATCATTCCATTTTGTGATCACGAACCAGCTACTGGTCTAAGGCCTCTCTATGGAGAATAGACCATCTCAAGACTGAGCAACTGCTTCATTTGCCGCTGCTATGCGGTGCTGCACAAATTCCCATCTTGTGGTGCAGTTCGACCTGACCCGATTTACCCGACCTGTTTGACCTGTTTTGGGGCGGGTCAAACCCGCCCCGTAGGCGGGGCGGGGCGGGCATGGGTACCTCTCATCGACCCGACCTGCCCTGACCCGCCCCATTCTGGACCCGTTCTTGCCTAAATTACATATAATCTTAGTCAAATTACTTAAGATTTTCCTCTTATTACATTATATTTTAGCTATAATAAAGTTGTAAATAAGTGAAAACCTCAATTTCTTCAGTAATTTAACTACATTTTATCATATTATGGTTTATTTCTTGGTCTTTCAATGAAAAGAATGAATATTTCTAATGTTTTTCACATAAATTACATACCCAATGGGTCGACCTGCCCCGACCCGCGCCCCGTGATAAATTACCCAACCTGGACCCGACCTGCCATGGGGCGGTTATGGGTATCGAGATACCCGCCCCGGACCTGCCCCATTGCCATTCCTAAAGTTAAAGTAGACGTTTATTGCTCTGCCAGGAGAAGTAAAACCCAATTAGGCAGTATAAACCGTTCTCCTAAGACTGTCTTCTGAGTCTTTTGTCCATTTTTTTCTGATTGCTCTGGCAATTCTTGATGCAGGATTCCACCAATGCAGATGGGGGTATCACAACCTCTCAGTAGTTGAAGATGTGGTCGACAACTACAAGAAGGCCAAGATTCCACTCGACGTGATCTGGAACGACGATGATCACATGGATTTCCACAAGGACTTCACCTTGAGCCCCATCAGCTACCCTCGTGAGAAGCTGCGAGCCTTCTTGGACAAGATCCACGGCATCGGGATGAAGTACATTGTCATCATTGATCCCGGGATCAACGTCAATTCCACTTACGGCGTGTACAACAGAGGCATTGCAGATGACGTTTTCATCAAGTACGAAGGCCAGCCTTTCTTGGCTCAAGTCTGGCCCGGAGCAGTCAACTTCCCTGACTTCCTCAACCCTAAAACTGTCTCCTGGTGGGGGGATGAGATCCGCCGCTTCCACGACATGGTCCCTGTCGACGGCCTTTGGATCGACATGAATGAAGCTTCCAACTTCTGCTCTGGACTGTGCACTATCCCCAAGGGGAAGAAGTGTCCGACGGGGACCGGCCCGGGTTGGGATTGTTGCTTGGATTGCAAGAACATTACCAAGACGAGGTGGGATGATCCTCCTTATAAGATCAATGCTTCAGGATTGCAAGCGCCGATCGGTTTCAAGACTATAGCCACCAGTGCCGTTCATTACAATGGCGTATTGGAGTACGACGCACACAGTCTGTACGGATTCTCACAATCCATTGCTACTCACAAGGCTCTTCAGGATCTTCAGGGCAAGCGCCCATTCATCTTGTCGCGCTCCACCTACGTTGGATCAGGGAAATACGCTGCCCATTGGACGGGAGACAACCAGGGGAATTGGGAGAATTTGAAGTACTCCATTTCCACAATGCTCAACTTTGGCATCTTTGGTGTGCCGATGGTTGGTTCAGATATATGTGGGTTCTATCCCGCTCCGACGGAGGAGCTCTGCAACCGCTGGATCGAAGTAGGGGCTTTCTACCCATTTTCCAGGGATCACGCCAACTTCTACTCCCCAAGGCAGGAGCTTTACCAGTGGGAATCTGTTGCCGAGTCCGCAAGAAACGCTCTCGGCTTGAGGTACAAGCTTCTGCCATATCTCTACTCGTTGAGCTACGATGCTCACATGACCGGAGCACCCATCGCCAGGCCGCTTTTCTTCTCCTTCCCTACCTACACCGACTGTTACGGGTTGAGCACGCAGTTCTTGCTAGGCAGCAGCCTCATGATTTCTCCGGTGCTCGAGCAAGGGAAGTCGCAAGTAAAGGCGTTGTTCCCTCCCGGATCGTGGTACAGCATGTCCGACATGTCTCAAGCCATCGAATCGAAGGGCGAGTACTACACACTGGACGCGCCATTGCACTTCATCAACGTGCACGTGTATCAGAACACCATTTTGCCGATGCAGAGGGGCGGAATGATTTCGAAGGACGCCAGGATGACGCCGTTCAGCCTCGTGGTTACTTTCCCTGCTGGGGCAACCGACGGAGCGGAAGCGAAAGGGAGTCTGTTTATGGACAACGATGAGCTTCCGGAGATGAAGCTTGGGAATGGCGAGTCGACGTACATCGAGTTCTATGCCACTGTGAGCAACGGGAGCGTGAAGTTGTGGTCGGAAGTTCAGGAAGGTAAGTTTGCGCTGGGGAAAGGGTTGATTATTGAGAAGGTATCGGTGTTGGGACTGGGCGGAAGTGGGTCGCCGTCGGATGTCGAAGTCGGCGGGAATGCAGTCTCTGTCACGGTGGCTTCGAAGGTTCAGGTGAGGTCGGTGGAGCAGATCGACGGCGGAGATGAAAAGGGGAATACTAAGAGTATGATGGTGGAGGTGAGTGGGTTGGAGATTCCGGTGGGGAAGAACTTTGCTATGACGTGGCACATGGGATTGTAAGTCTTGTCTGCTCGTAAGGTTATTAGCTGTTCGAGTGGAGAAGATGATCAGATGATGTACTGCATTTTGTATCTTAGAGTATGTGGCAGTGAATCGGGTTTTAATTAGGCGAGTATTTTGTTGTTTCTGGGCGGGTTTCTCTCAATTGTTAGGCAGTTAAGTTTGCTTGGAGAGAAGAAGAGATTTGAGCAATGGAAAAGACTCGCCTCTCATTCTTCCCCTTGCAAGCTAAGTTACTTTCAGTGAGTGTTTAGATTTTTCTATCTTATTGCTTAGATGAGCATTCTGCTGCCATGGAAGTTGATGATGAAGAAATGTCAGGTTCCTTCGGTTTTATAAATGGCTTCCTTACCTCTGTATCCTTAACCAGCATGTTGTAGTTCATATTGGGACCTTGACCCAAACCATGGCATCCACTTAAGACTAGCTTTGTGCCCGCGTTTGGGGAGGTTGGCCTATGCTTTTGTTTTGTGTGCTTTGTAGCTTAGATACTGTGGGAACTCTATGATTTTATATTTGAACTGTTATTAATATACTAGTGATGTAAACGACCACTTCTACTATGCAATATAGCATTGATGCTTTAATGTACAACTTGAAGTTGTACCATCACATAAGGTACAAATTTAAGTTGGACCATAAAAGAACGTGTACAGAAAGTATAGGTACAATCTGAAGTTGTACCATAACGTTAAAGGTACAATTTCAAGTTGTACCATAAAGACAAAAACCTATAGCACCAATGCTATATAGCATTGTAAAATTCCTCGATGTAAACATCAATGTGTAGAAAGAGAGGAACTCTGAGAGACATACGTTTTAGTATTTATAGGATTGCAAGAGTTAAAAATATAACGGTAGTCTATCTAGTGGGTAATTTGTGTTATTAAAGAATAGCCTTGTGCTGAATTTGTGATCTGCAACTTTCAAAATCTAAGGAAAATGATATTTCGAAAAAATAGTCTAAAAATTAAGAAAATGTCCACCGGAATAATTCGACCAAATTTCCGCCCAAATCGGTCATTACTAGACTTCATCGTCGGTGGAGAGTACCCTAAGGACGAATCTGTGATCCATCGCCTTCAAAATCCAAGGAAAATTGCCTTTCCAAAAAATCTTCTGATATCGGTGATGGTACACCTTTGGAATCTGTCAAAAATTGATCAGGAAATTTTCCGGCAGAATCGGTGTTTAATAGACTTATTCATCCGGAAAAATTCGACCAAATTTTCGCCCAAATCAGCCATTACTAGACTTAATCTTTGGTGGAGAGTACCCTAAGGTTGAATCTGTGATCCATCGCCTTCAAAATTCAAAGAAAATGGCCTTTCAAAAAAAGCGCCGGATATGAGTAATGGTACCCCTTTAGAATCTGGCAAATATTTGCACCGGAAATTTTTGGCCCGAATAGGTGTTTAATTGACTTATTCATCCCTAATGAATAGTCTCACACAAAATCCTTGATCTGCAGCCTTCAAAAACTAAGGAAAATGTCTTTACGAAAAAATTGCCTAAAATTTACGAAAATGGCCTCCGGAAAATTTCGACCAAATTTCCACCCAAATCGGCCATTACAAGACTTCATCGGTTGGTGGAGAGTATCCTAAGGCCGAATATGTGATCCATCACCTTCAAAATCCAAGAAAAATAGTCTTTCCAAAAAATCACCTGATTTCGATGATGGTACATTTTTTGAATACAGCAAAAATTGATACGGAAATTTTTCGCCCGAATCGGTGTTTATTGTTTAATAGACTTATTCATCCCTAAAGAATAGCCTCAAGCTTAATCCGTGATCTGCAGCTTTCAAAATCTAAAAAAATGGCCTTTCGAAAAATCGTCTAAAAATAACGAAAATGCCATCTGGAAAAATTCGACCAAATTTCCGCACAAATAAGCCATTACAAGACTTCGTCGTTAGTGGAGAGTACCCTAAGGCCGAATTTCAAAATCCAAGCAAAATTGTCATTCAAAAAAATCGCCAGATATCGGTGATGGTACCCCTTTGGAATATGGCGAAAATTGACCCAAAATTTTCCGTCGGAATCAGTGTTGATTAGACTTGTTCATCCCTATAGAATAGTCTCATGCTAAATCCGTGATTTGTAGCCTTCAAAATGCAAAGAAAATGGTTTTTCAAAAATATCGCCTAAAAATTACGAAAATGCCCTCCTGAAAAATTCGACCAAATTTCCACCCAAATCGTTCATTACTGGACTTCATCGTTGGTGGACTGGAGAGTACCCTAAGGCCGAATATGCGATCCATCGACTTAAAAATCCAAGGAAAATGGTCTTTCCAAAAAATCGCCCGATATCGGTGATGGTACCCCCTTTGGAATCTGGCAAAAATTGCCCCAAAAATATTTCGCCCGAATCGGTATTTAATTGACTTATTCATCCCAAAAAGATAGCCTCAGGTTGAATCCATGATCTGCAACTTACAAAATCTAAGGAAAATGACATTTCGAAAAAATCGCCTAAAAATTAAGAAAATGCTCTCCTGTATAATTCGACCAAATTTCCGCACATATCGGCAATTACTAGACTTCATCATTGGTGGAGAGTACTCTATGGCAGAATTTGTGATCCATCGTCTTCAAAATCCAACGAAAATTGCCTTTCCAAAAATCGCCTCATATGGGTGATTGTACCCCATTGAAATCTGACAAAAATTGCCCAGGAAATTTCCCGCCCGAATCGGTGTTTAATAGAATTATTCATCTCTAAAGAATAGTCTCACGCTGAATATGTGATCTGCAACATTCAAAATCTAAGAAAAATGGCATTTCGAAAACTTGCCTAAAACTTATGAAAATGCCCTCTTGAAAAATTAGAATAAACTTCCACCCAAATCAGCCATTACAAGAATTCATCGTTGGTGGAGAGTACCCTAAGGCCGAATCTGTGATCCATCGCTTCCAAAATCCAAGGAAAATGGTCTTTCCAAAAAATCGCACAATTTCGCTGATGGTACCCTTTGGAATAAGGCAAAAATTTGCCCCGGAAATTTTCCGCCCGAATCGGTGTTTAATAAACTTATTCATCCCTAAAGATTAGCCTCAGGCTGAATTCGTGATCTACAACTTTCAAATTATAAGGAAAATAGACTTTGGAAAAAATCACCTAAAATTTACGAAAATGCCCTTCGGAATAATTCTGTGAAATTTCAGCCCAAATCAACCATTACTAGACTTTATCGTTGGTGGAGAGTACCCTAAGGCGGAATCTGTGATCCATCGCCTTCAAAATCCAAGGAAAATTGCCTTTCCAAAAAATCTCTAGATATCGATGATGGACCCGGAAATTTTCCGCCCGAATCGCTGTTTAATAGACTTATTCATCCCTAAAGAATAACCTCAGGCTGAATTTGTGATCTGCAACTTTCAAAATCTTAGGAAATTGGCATTCAAAAAAATCGCCTAAAAATTACGAAAATTCCCTCCGAAATAATTCGACCAAATTTTCGCCCAAATCGGCCATTACTAGACTTCATTGTTGGTGGAGAGTAATCTAAAGTAGAATCTGTGATCCATCGCCTTCAAAATCCAAGAAAAATTGCATTTCCAAAAAATCGCCTGATACAGGTTATTTCACCTTTCTAATCTAGCAAAAATTGCCCTGAAAAATTTCCGCCTGAATTGGTTTGATAGACTTGTTCATCGCTAAAAAGTAGTCGCACGTTGAATCCGTGATCTGCAGTCTCCTAAATCTAAGGAAAATGGGATTTCAAAAAATAGGCTAAAAATTAAGAAAATGCCCTCAAGTGTAATTTGACCAAAATTCCGCTCAAATAGGCCATTACTAGACTTCATCGTTGGTGGAGAGTACCCTAAGGCGGAATCTGTGTTCCATCGCTTTGAAAATCCAAGTAAAATTGTCTTTCCAAAAAATCTACTGATATCGGTACCCCTTAGGAATTTGGCAAAAATTGCCTCAAAAATTTTCCGCCTGAATCGGTGATTAATAAACCTATTCATCCCTAAAGAATAGTCTCACGTTGAATCCATAACCTGCAACCTTCAAAATCTAAGGAAAATAGACTATCAAAAAAATCACCTAAAAATTAACTTACGAAAAATGCCCTCCAGAAAAATTCGATCAAATTTCCGCCCAAATTGGCCATTACTGGACTTCATCGTTGGTGAAGAGTACCCAAAGGCCGAATCTGTGATCCATCTCCTTCAAAATCCAAGGAAAATGGTCTTCCCAAAAAATCGAATGATTTCAATGATAGACCCTTTTTTAATATGGCAAAAATTGCCCTGCAAATTTCCCGCCAGAATCGGTGTTTAATAGATTTGTTCATCCCTACAGAATACCCTCAGGCTTAGTATGTGATTTGCAACTTTCAAAATCTAAAGAAAATGGCTTTCGAATAGATCGCCTAAAAATACGAAAATGCCCTCCGGAATAATTCGACGAAATTTCCGCCCAAATTGGCCATTACTACACTTCATCGTTGGTGGATAGTACCCTAAAGCCAAATCTGTGATCCATCGCTTTCAAAATCCATGGAAAATGACATTTCCAAAAATCGTCTGATATCGTTGATGGAACCCCTTTGGTATCAGGCAAAAATTTGCCCCGGAAATTTTCCGTCGGAATCAGTGTTTAATAGACTTATTCATCTTTAAAGAGTCGGCTCAGGCTCAATCCGTGATCTGCAGCCTTCAAAATCTAAGGAAAATGGCCTTTAGAAAAAAATCACCTAAAAATTAAGAAAATGCCCTCTTGAAAAATTCAACCAAATTACCGCCCAAATGGGCCATTACTCGACTTCATCGTTGATGGAGAGTACCCTAAGGTCTAATCTGTGATCCATCCCCTTTGGAATCTGACAAAAATTGCTTCGATAATTTTACCTATGCATTGGTGTTTAATAGACTTATTCATCCCTAAAGATAGCCTCGGGCTGAATATGTGAACTACAGCTTTCAAAATCTAAAGAAAATAGCTTTTCAAAGAAAATCGCCTAAAAATTACAAAAATACCCTCAGGAATAATTCGACCAAATCGGCCATTACTAGACTTCATCGTTGATGGAGAGTACCCTAAGGTAGAATCTGTGATCTATTGCCTTCAAAATCCAAGGAAAATTGTCTTTCTAAAATATCGTCTGATATCGGTAATGGTACCCTTTCGAATCTGGCAAAAATTGCCCCACAAATTTTCCCCACGAATCTGTGTTTAATATACTTATTCATCACTAAAGAATAATCTCACGCCGAATCTGTGATCTGTAGTCTTCAAAATCAAAGGAAAATAGCCTTTCAAAAAATCGCATGAAAATTACAAAACTGCCCTCCGAAAAACTCGACCAAATTTATGCCCAAATCGGCCATTACTAGACTTCATTGTTGGTGGATAGTACCCTAAGGCTGAATCTATTATCCATCGCCTACAAAATCCAAGGAAAATTGCTTTTCCAAAAAATCGCTCGATATCGGTGATATACCCTTTAGAATCTAGCAAAAATTGTCCCGGAAATTTTCCGCATGAATCGGTGTTTAATAGACTTAATAATCCCTAAATAATAGTCTCACGCTGAATCCGTGATCTGTAGC